ATGAAGCGTGGTGTGGAGGCCCTTGGAGACTCCTATTTGCAAGCTCGTCAACGCTTCGAAAGTCTTGAACGAAAATTCGCTCGTAACCCTGAGCTTAAAACAGAATATAGTAAGTTCATAAAGGAATATCTGGACCTTAATCACATGTCGCTAGTTACCAATGAGGTTTTTCAACAATGCAAGTATTTTCTGCCGCATCATTGCGTCATCAAGAATGACAGTAGCACAACAAAGCTGAGAGTGGTTTTTGATGGCTCTGCATCCACTACTTCGGGCTTTTCGCTGAACGACCTACTCATGGCAGGCCCAACTATTCAGCCGAAACTTTTTAGTATCCTTATTAGATTTCGTACTTTTCCCATAGCACTTACTGGGGACATCTGTAAGATGTATAGGTGTGTTCGCGTCACCCCACCAGATAGCATGCTCCAATGCATATTGTGGCGTGAATCTCCTCAGGAAAACTTTGCCATCTATAAGTTAGACACGCTGACTTATGGAACTAAGCCTGCGTCATTTCTGGCCATACGTGCCATGCACCAACTCGCAGCTGACGAATCCTCGACTTATCCCATTGGTGCAGAAATAGTGCGTCGAGACTTCTACGTAGATGACTTGATATCTGGAGGCGATTCGATGGAAGAAGTACTGAATATCAAGCTACAAACAACTAGCCTCCTTGCTCGAGGAAACTTTAAGTTACGCAAGTGGTGCTCGAATAGTCCAGATATCCTTCGTGATATACCTGACGTAGACAAGGAACGTTTCCTTAAGTTTGACGATGGCAGTGACATCACCAAAGCTCTGGGACTAGTTTGGGATCCGGTCAAGGACAAGCTGCTATTTTTGTTTGTGCCACAATGAGAACTCGGTAACTCAAAACGCTCTGCGTTGTCTACTCTAGCTCGCTGTTACGATCCCCTTGGACTAATGGGCCCTACGCTGACCAAGGCGAAGATTCTTCTGCAGCGCATGTGGAGAGACAAGCTTGAGTGGGATGAGAGTCTACCGCAATCGTTAAACATTGCCTGGTCTGCCTTTTGCAGCGGGTTTGCAGACATACAGCACCTATCATTTCCTCGTTACGTCTTGCAACCTGGGGCCATTACAGAAATTCATGCATTTTGCGATGCAAGCCTTGAAGCTTATGGGGCTTGCGTTTATACGCGTTCAGCCAAGGATAGTAAGGTACAAGTGCACCTGTTGTGTTCGAAGGCCCGTGCCGCTCCACTGAAGACTATCACCGTGCCCAAGCTGGAACTCTGTGCAGCAACACTGCTTGCACAACTCATGGGTGAGTTTACAAAAATGAAGCTTTTTAACTGTTCATTTCATTGTTGGTCAGATTCCTCCACTGTCCTCTCGTGGCTGCGAGAAGAACCATCGAAATTTAACGTATTTGTCGCTAACCGAATTTCCACCATACATCAATTAACGGAGGGCATGCGGTGGCACTATGTTCCGACAGCAATGAATCCGGCGGACATTTTATCCAAAGGAGCTACCCCGCAGGAACTTCTAGGATCTTCACTTTGGATGCACGGCCCGTCATTTTTGCGAGAAGTGGAGGGCAGCTGGCGCATGTGTCTACCACAACCAAAACTTCGACAAAAGGTGTTGCTTGCCGCACATAACCGCAATGACATTTCGCTTTCGTTCAAGTACATTAATTCATTTGGAACAATGCAGCGCATTTTTGGGTACGTCAGCAAATTTGTCAATATTACAACATCGCCAAGCTCTTCGCAGCTCACAGCCGCAGATATTCACCATGGAACTCAACTGCTTATTCGCTTAGTACAAAGAGCGCAACTTTGGCCGGAGTACACGGCATTACAGGCCAATAATTGCGTCCCGAGTTCGAGCAGCATTGTTTCGCTATCACCATTTCTTGATGACTTTGGAATTATTAGAGTCGGCGGGCGATTAAAAAACTCTATGCTTAGTTTTGAATCGCGCCACCCATGCATTATTCCGAAGGATCATCCACTGACATGTAGTATAATAACCTTTCTTCATCGCAAACAACATCACGCAGGTCCTCAAGCTTTACTCGCCTTCATTCGAATGCAGTTTTGGCCCATAGGTGGTCGGAAAACAGTCACTCGAGTCCTACAAAAATGCATTATTTGCTGCAAATCGAGACCGCGCCTTGTCGAGCACATAATGGCCGACCTGCCTAAAGAGCGAATTCAGGCCTCGCGACCATTCATAGTCACCGGTGTGGACTACTGTGGGCCATTTTATTACAAGCCTCAAGTACGCAATAAATCGCCCCACAAATGTTATGTAAGCGTTTTCATTTGCTTCGCCACAAAGGCTGTATGGATGGAGTTGGTAAGAGACCTCTCAACAGGTGCTTTCATTGACGCGCTAAAACGATTAATCGCTACGCGTGGCATACCCAGCTGCATCTGGTCTGACAATGCGACGAATTTTGTAGGCGCCAAGAACGAGCTTAAAGAACTACGGAACTTAGCCCTCAGCGAGAAACACCGCAGCGAAGTCCACAACTTTTGCCTCAGTAATGGCTTTGATTGGCGTTTCATCCCACCTCGCTCTCCGCACTTTGGCGGTTTGTGGGAAGCGGCCGTAAAAACAGCCAAACAACATTTCTATCGTTCCGTTGGCTCATCACTGCTTGGCTTCGATGAATTGCGTACTTTGGTATGTCAAATCTGTGCTGTAATTAACTCTCGTCCTCTCGTACCCCTTTCAGAAAACCCAGAGGATTTAGAAGTGCTAACGCCAGGCCATTTTTTGATTGGTGGTTCTCTGGCAGCTCTTCCGGAACCGGATCTAACGACGCTAAACTACGACCGACTTGATCGATGGCAGCGTGCAACATACATTAAACAGGTTTTTTGGAAGCGGTTGACTCAAGAGTATCTAACTCTTCTACAGCAACGCGCAAAGTGGCGTTTACCTCATGCCAACATTCAAGTCAATGATGTCGTATGCATAAAGGAAGAAAACTCACCACCACTGAAGTGGCCTCTAGCACGGGTAATCGAAGTTGTCCCTGGAGCAGACGGTGTCGTACGTGTGGCACTTTTAAAAACATCTAGCGGCATAACGCGACGAGCCGTGAACAAGCTGTGTGTCCTCCCGGTGAAGGATTCTGTTGAAAGCCCTAACCTTTCAACGGGGGGGAGGATGTTCGGAGCAGCAGCGGATAAGCCAGCAACATAAAATATGTTTATCAAAATCAATATGAATAACGTTATCTGATCACACTGAAATTTTCATACTCAATTGAGCTGCATATTTACTTGTATGTATTTAAACTGTGCTAATTTTGTTTCCCCTTTATACTATGTATAAAGCATACGTATATACATACATACATATATGTATGTGCATACGTACCGCCCGCGCTCAGTTGGATACATTCGTATGCAAGCAAGCGAAAAATAGTACATATGTATGTACGTAAGCAATATTGTGTGCGCGGGCGCATACGTGCATAAATATATATATGTAAATTCTCATGCATTTAAGAAAACTGGTTTTCTATTGTTGGTGATGAATTTGCAGTTATCCAATGTAATTAGGACATACTTAAATAGTTCAAGGTGAACTTTCTGTTAGTTAGTCGCGGACCAAATCTTGTTAAATACAGTTGCTTAACTTATGCATACATCGTTTGTTTTATTTTAATAGCTGCTAAAAAGGCTTAGTAGCTCAACATTTGGTGACCCCGACGTGATCGTATCACGCGATTTTTCGTTTGTTTCCGGCCGTTTACTGAGATAATTCTGCCACACTAGTGTAAACATCAGCAACTTCGTCATGCCAGGGGAAGGTGCAGATCGAGTAGCCTTTCTAAAGCTGAAAACAAAGGCCATATTCAGCAGACTGGAGAGCTTGATTAACGAGTTGGACGCAGACAAGCTACACAGTATGGATGAGTACAGTCTTTCAGCAATGCTAGAATCCTTAGGCGAATTGAAATCCAGTTTTTCTGCCGCACACACAAGCCTAGAGGAATTGGACTTCGACTCCATTGCCAGCGACCTGCCAAGTAACTTCGATGCTGCTCTAATCAACCTTAGAGCTACACTGCAACGCGAGATTGGTAAACGTAGTGCCTCGCAACATTGCTCCACGCTCAGAATGAACTCCAGTGAGACCCAATCAATCATTGTGAACGCTAATAGCTCACGCTTGCCATTGCTGACACTGCCTAAATTCAGTGGCGCCTACACCGAGTGGACAAATTTCTATTCAATGTTCACGTCAATAATCGACAAGGACAGCGACCTCACCAACATCGACAAATTGCAGCATCTTCGTTCCTGTCTGAGCGGCGCTGCCCTTGACACCGTGCGCTCGCTGGAAATAAACGACGCTAATTATAACACTGCATTAGATCTTTTACAAAATCGCTTCGATAACAAACGTCTTATATTTCAGGCACACGTCAGGGAGATATTTGGGCTAGAGAGGGCAGATTCAAACGTAACCAAGCTACGAGAGCTGACAGATAAGGTCACAGCACACATACGCGCATTGCAGTCGCTCGCATCCAATGGGAAGATCGCAGATGGCATCAACGTACAATTGGTGATCCAGAAACTCGACAAAAAGACGCAAGCTAAATGGGAGGAGAGTTCATCGATCAGCGAACTGCCATCCTGGGATCAATTAGCTATGTTCTTGGAGAAGCGCTGCAGAACACTCGAGAACGTTGAGCATTCTATGCAGACACCGACTGGTCAGGCGGTAAAAGCTAACAAGAACGTGAGTACTGGTCAGAGGAAATCCTTTGTTGCTTCCAACGGCTCAAAAGGTGTTTGTGTGTTTTGTGGATCTGCCGAGCATGCAATTTATAGCTGTCAACGCTTCGCAAATTTGTCTCCGAACTTACGCCTGAGGGAAGTTAAGAAGCTTTCCCTTTGTCTTAACTGCCGTGACTGCAAATCCGGATCGTGCCGCGCATGTCAGTCGAAACACCACACGCTCTTGCATTTCGAACGCTCAACTGCATCGTTAATTAATAGTCAAGCCGAAGCTTCGTCGGCAGCTACAGTTCAATCCAACGCTATGACTGCATCGTTATCTGTGACGCCTAGTGCCCCAGTATCTCCTTCTGATGCTGTGTTCCTAGCTACTGCCGTCGTTCTGGTAAAAAATCGTGCTGGAAGCTTCGTGCCTTGCAGGGCGCTTTTAGATTCTGGCTCCCAGTTACACTTTGTCACAACTCGCCTTGCAAACCAATTGCAGCTTGTAAAAGCAAAATCTTCTGCTACAGTATCTGGCATTGGAGATGCCAATTTCTCAACGGAGGGTTACTCAAGCCGACCTCGTACTGAAGTCCCGGACTTCAGATTTCTCAACAAACATAACAGCTGTTGTTGTGCAAACCATAATCGACAACCAGCCTGGCTGCTCCGTGAGCACCAACGAGTGGAATGTTCCGTCGAATATACAACTAGCTGATCCTGGGTTCAACTTACCGCAGCGGATTGATCTGCTCATTGGAGCAGCATTGTTCTTCGATCTGCTATGTGTGGGGCAGATACGCTTGGCATATGGTTTACCACTCCTTCAGAAAACACGCCTCGGTTGGGTGCTATCTGGAGGGGGGCAACAAGGTCCAAAACTATCATCTTTTGTGGTGCGACGGAAGTGCTCCAGTGATATTATTTCCACTCGGTTGGAAGATTTAGTGCGTCAGTTCTGGGAAATAGAGCACAACTTCGAGCCGATCTCTAAGGCCTCCCAAGAAGATATCGACTGCGAAGCCCACTTCCGGGAAAATTATTTGCGATTGTCATCAGGCGAATACTCAGTTCGTCTTCCCATGAAGCGTGGTGTGGAGGCCCTTGGAGACTCCTATTTGCAAGCTCGTCAACGCTTCGAAAGTCTTGAACGAAAATTCGCTCGTAACCCTGAGCTTAAAACAGAATATAGTAAGTTCATAAAGGAATATCTGGACCTTAATCACATGTCGCTAGTTACCAATGAGGTTTTTCAACAATGCAAGTATTTTCTGCCGCATCATTGCGTCATCAAGAATGACAGTAGCACAACAAAGCTGAGAGTGGTTTTTGATGGCTCTGCATCCACTACTTCGGGCTTTTCGCTGAACGACCTACTCATGGCAGGCCCAACTATTCAGCCGAAACTTTTTAGTATCCTTATTAGATTTCGTACTTTTCCCATAGCACTTACTGGGGACATCTGTAAGATGTATAGGTGTGTTCGCGTCACCCCACCAGATAGCATGCTCCAATGCATATTGTGGCGTGAATCTCCTCAGGAAAACTTTGCCATCTATAAGTTAGACACGCTGACTTATGGAACTAAGCCTGCGTCATTTCTGGCCATACGTGCCATGCACCAACTCGCAGCTGACGAATCCTCGACTTATCCCATTGGTGCAGAAATAGTGCGTCGAGACTTCTACGTAGATGACTTGATATCTGGAGGCGATTCGATGGAAGAAGTACTGAATATCAAGCTACAAACAACTAGCCTCCTTGCTCGAGGAAACTTTAAGTTACGCAAGTGGTGCTCGAATAGTCCAGATATCCTTCGTGATATACCTGACGTAGACAAGGAACGTTTCCTTAAGTTTGACGATGGCAGTGACATCACCAAAGCTCTGGGACTAGTTTGGGATCCGGTCAAGGACAAGCTGCTATTTTTGTTTGTGCCACAATGAGAACTCGGTAACTCAAAACGCTCTGCGTTGTCTACTCTAGCTCGCTGTTACGATCCCCTTGGACTAATGGGCCCTACGCTGACCAAGGCGAAGATTCTTCTGCAGCGCATGTGGAGAGACAAGCTTGAGTGGGATGAGAGTCTACCGCAATCGTTAAACATTGCCTGGTCTGCCTTTTGCAGCGGGTTTGCAGACATACAGCACCTATCATTTCCTCGTTACGTCTTGCAACCTGGGGCCATTACAGAAATTCATGCATTTTGCGATGCAAGCCTTGAAGCTTATGGGGCTTGCGTTTATACGCGTTCAGCCAAGGATAGTAAGGTACAAGTGCACCTGTTGTGTTCGAAGGCCCGTGCCGCTCCACTGAAGACTATCACCGTGCCCAAGCTGGAACTCTGTGCAGCAACACTGCTTGCACAACTCATGGGTGAGTTTACAAAAATGAAGCTTTTTAACTGTTCATTTCATTGTTGGTCAGATTCCTCCACTGTCCTCTCGTGGCTGCGAGAAGAACCATCGAAATTTAACGTATTTGTCGCTAACCGAATTTCCACCATACATCAATTAACGGAGGGCATGCGGTGGCACTATGTTCCGACAGCAATGAATCCGGCGGACATTTTATCCAAAGGAGCTACCCCGCAGGAACTTCTAGGATCTTCACTTTGGATGCACGGCCCGTCATTTTTGCGAGAAGTGGAGGGCAGCTGGCGCATGTGTCTACCACAACCAAAACTTCGACAAAAGGTGTTGCTTGCCGCACATAACCGCAATGACATTTCGCTTTCGTTCAAGTACATTAATTCATTTGGAACAATGCAGCGCATTTTTGGGTACGTCAGCAAATTTGTCAATATTACAACATCGCCAAGCTCTTCGCAGCTCACAGCCGCAGATATTCACCATGGAACTCAACTGCTTATTCGCTTAGTACAAAGAGCGCAACTTTGGCCGGAGTACACGGCATTACAGGCCAATAATTGCGTCCCGAGTTCGAGCAGCATTGTTTCGCTATCACCATTTCTTGATGACTTTGGAATTATTAGAGTCGGCGGGCGATTAAAAAACTCTATGCTTAGTTTTGAATCGCGCCACCCATGCATTATTCCGAAGGATCATCCACTGACATGTAGTATAATAACCTTTCTTCATCGCAAACAACATCACGCAGGTCCTCAAGCTTTACTCGCCTTCATTCGAATGCAGTTTTGGCCCATAGGTGGTCGGAAAACAGTCACTCGAGTCCTACAAAAATGCATTATTTGCTGCAAATCGAGACCGCGCCTTGTCGAGCACATAATGGCCGACCTGCCTAAAGAGCGAATTCAGGCCTCGCGACCATTCATAGTCACCGGTGTGGACTACTGTGGGCCATTTTATTACAAGCCTCAAGTACGCAATAAATCGCCCCACAAATGTTATGTAAGCGTTTTCATTTGCTTCGCCACAAAGGCTGTATGGATGGAGTTGGTAAGAGACCTCTCAACAGGTGCTTTCATTGACGCGCTAAAACGATTAATCGCTACGCGTGGCATACCCAGCTGCATCTGGTCTGACAATGCGACGAATTTTGTAGGCGCCAAGAACGAGCTTAAAGAACTACGGAACTTAGCCCTCAGCGAGAAACACCGCAGCGAAGTCCACAACTTTTGCCTCAGTAATGGCTTTGATTGGCGTTTCATCCCACCTCGCTCTCCGCACTTTGGCGGTTTGTGGGAAGCGGCCGTAAAAACAGCCAAACAACATTTCTATCGTTCCGTTGGCTCATCACTGCTTGGCTTCGATGAATTGCGTACTTTGGTATGTCAAATCTGTGCTGTAATTAACTCTCGTCCTCTCGTACCCCTTTCAGAAAACCCAGAGGATTTAGAAGTGCTAACGCCAGGCCATTTTTTGATTGGTGGTTCTCTGGCAGCTCTTCCGGAACCGGATCTAACGACGCTAAACTACGACCGACTTGATCGATGGCAGCGTGCAACATACATTAAACAGGTTTTTTGGAAGCGGTTGACTCAAGAGTATCTAACTCTTCTACAGCAACGCGCAAAGTGGCGTTTACCTCATGCCAACATTCAAGTCAATGATGTCGTATGCATAAAGGAAGAAAACTCACCACCACTGAAGTGGCCTCTAGCACGGGTAATCGAAGTTGTCCCTGGAGCAGACGGTGTCGTACGTGTGGCACTTTTAAAAACATCTAGCGGCATAACGCGACGAGCCGTGAACAAGCTGTGTGTCCTCCCGGTGAAGGATTCTGTTGAAAGCCCTAACCTTTCAACGGGGGGGAGGATGTTCGGAGCAGCAGCGGATAAGCCAGCAACATAAAATATGTTTATCAAAATCAATATGAATAACGTTATCTGATCACACTGAAATTTTCATACTCAATTGAGCTGCATATTTACTTGTATGTATTTAAACTGTGCTAATTTTGTTTCCCCTTTATACTATGTA